TTTCTTTCTTTCTTTCTTTCTTTCTTTCTTTCTTTCTTTCTTTCTTTTTATTTTATTTGATGTGTATGAGTGTTTTCCTTGCATATATGTGTGTGCCTGGTAGCCACAGAGGCCGGAGATGGTGTCAGACCCCCTGGAGCAGGTGTTATGATGGTTGTGAGCTGCCACCTGGGGTGCTAGAAGTGAATGTAGGTCCTCTGGAAGAACAGCTGAGCCAGCTCTCCAGCCCCTCCTTTTACTTTCAAGAGAGCATTTCCTGCCCTGTTCTAGCCTGGAACTCACTATAGAGTATGTAACCAAATATGACCTTGAACTTCTAATCTTTCTGCCACTGTGTCCTGCATGCTGGGATGACAGGTTAGTACCACCAGCCCAGTATAATTCTTTGTGTGTGTTTGTTTGAGACCAGGTCTCACTGTGTAGCCCATGCTGTCTGCAATTCGAGCTCTTACCTCAGCTTCCCAACTGCTGAAGTTACACGCCTACCTGTGCCTCCATGCCTGCTTGCCTTTCTCTTACTCTTAATTTCATTTTTGCTTTTTTGGTTGGCTTGTTTGATTGATTGATTTTGTTTTTTGAGACAAAGCTTTATATGCCAGGCAAGATCTCTACCAATGGAAATACATCTCCAGCCCTGATTTTATTTGGATTTTTTTTTTTAATTTTATGTACATTTAGTGTGAAGGTGTCAGATCCCTTGAAATTGGCATTACAGACAGTTGTGAACTGCCATGTGGGTGCTGGGAATTGAACCCGGGTCCTTTGGAAGAGCAAATAGCACTCTTAACCACTGAGCCATCTCTCCAGCCCCTTTATTTGGATTTTTAAGAGTGAAATACAAAGATAAACACCTATAGATGGTGACTGGAGAGAGGCTCCAGGGTCAAGAATGCTGGGTGCTTTTGCAGAGCACTCAAGCATATATCCTAGTGTCCATGTCATTAACTGCCCACAACTCCAGCTCCAAGCTCCAAGGCTTCCTCAGGCACCGTGCACACGTGATACACATCAAATAAAATAAACATTAAAAAAAATGAATGTTAAAATTAATGTTAAATTAATGTTAAAATTAATGTTAAAAAAAAAATGAGGCCAGCCTGGGCTACATGATGAGCAGGCATACACACATGAGTAAAAATGGTTTTTTTAATTAAAAAAAAAAAAAAAAAAGGTGTGTAGAGATGGTGGGTGTAGCCATCCTCAGCCCCGCCCCTCTCCACCCAGGTGTTGTGAGTGTAGCGCCTCCCTTTCACACCAGTACTATGAGAAGGATGGACAGCTCTTCTGCAAGAAAGACTACTGGGCCCGCTATGGCGAGTCTTGCCACGGGTGCTCTGAGCACATCACCAAAGGCCTGGTCATGGTGAGCTACCTTCCCCTCCCACCTCTCTCCCTGCCATCGTCCCCTGTGCGTTCTGAGCCTGTCTCTTCCTCTGTTCAGATCTTCCAGTCCTCTATCGTCCAGCAAGAGTCTGTCCGGGTTGCCCTGCTTTCCCCCAAGAGGAGAATGATGGTGGCTGTGGGGACTGCAGGCACCACTAAGCTGGGTTGTATCACCACCCCTACAGGTGGCCGGGGAGTTGAAGTACCACCCCGAGTGTTTCACCTGCCTCACCTGTGGAACCTTCATCGGTGATGGGGACACCTACACACTGGTGGAGCACTCTAAGCTATACTGGTGAGTACTGTGGGACTCTGTGAGCCTAGGGGCCTGCACCTGTCAGCAAGGCTGCCCATACTCAGGCTTTTATTTCCACACTGTAAAGGAGGAGAGGACAAAGTGCCGTTGCTCCCTGACACCATGTAGAAGTGGCAGAAATCTCGGTGGGTATCATCCCTACTCTTCAGGAGGCTAAAACAACAGGATTGCAAGTTCTAGGCCAGGCTGGGAAACTTAGTGAAATGCAATCTCAAGAAGTAAAAAGAGAGCTGTGGATGTAGCTCCGTGAAAGAGCCCCTGCCTAGAATCCCCCAGTGAGGAGCTGAGTGTGTGGCTCAGTGATAGAGCACCTGTCTAGAATTCCCCAGTGAGGGGCTGGGATGTGGCTCAGTGGTAGAGGTCTTCCATGTCATATGTAAGGCTCTAGATTCAGTTCTCAGTTCTACAAAAAAGAGAAAGAAAATGACAGAAACCAAAAGTGGCCCCAACACAAGCTCTCTTCCTTCTGCCTATGCAGTGTAATTCTGGCTCTAGCCACAAAACTGGTACAAACACCAGCAGCTACAGATCCCATCACCAGCAGGTCTATTCCTGCTGCACACATAGGCCTCCTCAGGGTCCTCACACAATTAAAGCAACTGGTTTCCAATCCAGTGACCCTAAGTTTGATAGTTTGCTAAATGACTGACTCACAGAACTTCAAATGGTGTTATGTGTTGGCTCACAGTTGCATTACAAGGGACACAGCCCAGAAGCCACCAAATGAGGGTGCCTTTTACCTCTCTCCAGCCCATCTTATGTTTACTACCCAGGATGCCACAATGAGGTCCAGGATCCAGGGCTGTCACTGAGCCCTTGTAAGTCATCTGGCCACACGGTTAAGCTCTGTCTCTAGTCTACCTCTGAGAATCCAGGCTGTCTAGAAGCCCTAAGCCTTTAGTCTTGGTCAGTCTGTAGGACCAGCCCTGATCTGACTCATCTCATTTGCATAGACTCAAGCATCCTCCAAAAGGCTCATAAATAACAATGATCCCCCTGTTCCAAGGACTTAGAGTCTTTCTCCCCAGAGCCAGGAACAAAAAAAAAAAAAAAAAAAAAAGCACCAGACAGATTCTCTTACGAAACAACAACAAAGCTGGATTTGAGAACAACAGGACCTGATCCCAAATGGTTTTTTAATGACTTCCTCCCAAACAAGATGTATCCCCAAGGGCCTCGCCTTATCTTGGCCATCTGACAATATCATGGGATAGACAGAGCCAGAATGGGACCAGCTAGATGGCTTAGTGGTAAAGGTGCTTGCTGCTAAGCCTAACGAACCTGAGTTCCATTCCCAGGACCCACGTGGTAAAAGGAGAGAACTGACTCACAAATTATCCTCTGACCTTCATTCTCGCTCTGTGACATGTGCCCCCCCAGCCCATATGTACAGACATAAATAATAAATATAATTTAAAAATGTAACTGCTGATGAGACGCCTCAGCAAGTATAAAGGCATGGCTGCCAAACTTAACAGCCTAAGTTTAATCCACAGGACCAGTGTCGTGGAAGGAGAGAATTGATTCCTGCAAATTGTGTGTGTATACATACACACGCAACCACACAGTTTGGCACACCTATACTTGAGCATATGCACACATAAATAAGTGGAATTTTTAAGAACTGAGACGCAGAGTTGAGGGTCATGCACTGTCCCGAGTCCCGCCAGTCTGCTGGGGGAGGGTAATGGGAGGACGGAGGTGTAGAGCTCTGGGCTGCAGGGAAGCACTGCCACTCCCTGACACTGTTTTCTTCCCCTCCTCTCGGACCCACCCTGCTGGCGACCTTCACAGCGGGCACTGCTACTACCAGACGGTGGTAACACCAGTCATTGAACACATCCTGCCTGACTCACCTGGCTCCCACCTGCCCCACACAGTTACCCTAGTGTCTATCCCAGCCTCTGCCCATGGCAAACGAGGCCTGTCCGTCTCCATTGACCCTCCTCATGGCCCACCAGGCTCTGGCACAGAGCATTCGCACACCGTTCGAGTCCAAGGGTGAGTACGCTGCCACACCAGATGGGGCTCTGGTATAGCAACCTGACTGTATTAGTTAGCTCTCTGTCACTGTGACAGAATAACCGACATAAGCAACTTAAGTGGGGAGAGGTTGATCTCAGCTCATGGTTTCAGAGGGTTCGGGCTACAGTCACTGAGTCAGTTTATTCTGACCCAGAATGCCCAGGCACTAGAAGCACGAGGAACTGAGGTCACTCCCCCAGAATCCGCTTTACAAAAACCAGGGTCTATCAAGATGGCTTGGCAGGTAAAGACTTTTGCCACCAGGCCTGGCAACTTGAATTTCATTCCCAGGTGGAAGGAAAGAACCAACTCCTACAAGCTGTCTTCTGATTTACACACACATACACACAATAAATAAATGAATATTTTTTTTAAAAAATTTTTTTTTTGAGTCAAACAGGCAGCTGTGCTTGTAATCCTGGAGTTAGGACAATGTCCTCTGTAAGCAACTCTAAGGAACCTCATTTGGTCACCCTCTAAAAGAAGAAGAGACGTGAAAGCAGAAGGGGACCAATTGCAAAGGGTCGGAGTCTCAGCAGAAGTGGGAGGGAGAGCAGTGAAAGGGAATGTGATCAAAATAGATTAGGTAGTATTTGAAGTTGTCCTAATGAAGCCTATCATTAAGCATAGTTATACATGCTAATAACAAGATAAAAATGGGGCTGGAGGGATGGCTCAGCAGTTAAGAGCATTGGCTACTCTGTAAGTTCGGGTCCTAGAATCCACACAGCAGTTCACAACATCTGTAAGTCCAGCTCCAGAGGATCTGACAACCCTTGTGGCCACCAGGGAGGCACCTGGTGTATGTACATACACTTGGGCAAAACACACATGTAAAACCTTGTAAATCTTAAGGAAACAGCTGAAAACTCAGTATACTGCAGTTTCCACCAAAGGTGGGGCCATTGTCCTTCCCATCCACATCTGGTGGTCTTGGCTTTTGAAAGTTCCCTCTTAGGGCTCAAGGGCACAGGTGGGAAGGAACCGGTCTAACTGCTGCTGTACCCCCAGAGTGGACCCAGGATGCATGAGCCCTGATGTGAAGAATTCCATCCACGTTGGAGACCGCATCTTGGAGATCAACGGCACACCCATACGGAATGTCCCACTGGATGAGGTAGGCCACGGGGATCTAAGGCTGGGGCAAGACAGAGCCACAGAAGTAGCCCCTTCACACGTGCGCTCTGCTGCCACCTCAGGAGGCTCACCTGTGCCCTCGCCTGTCCCCAGATCGACTTGCTGATCCAGGAGACCAGCCGGCTGCTCCAGCTGACCCTTGAGCACGACCCGCATGACTCTCTGGGCCACGGGCCAGTGTCGGATCCGAGCCCCCTGGGTTCCCCGGTGCGCACTCCCAGCGGACAGGCAGGCAGCTCTGCCCGGCAGAAAGCTGTCTTGTAAGTCACCCTGCTCCCCACATGTGCAGGCACTGCCCCTTCAACTCCACCAGCATCCTAAAAGATGCCAGGACGAAAAAGAGGAAACGGTGAACAAGCGCCCCCAGCTGGAAGTTACAGGGACCTTCCCAGGCAGACCCACAGCTCTTCTTTTTTCACTTTAATGTTTGCGTTGATTTATTCATTTACTCTGTAGGGAGAGGGGCACCGAGATAGGAATGAGAATGCCACAGCGCCTGGGTAGCGGTCAGAGGACATCTTGCAGGAATCAGCTCTCTGCTCTTGCCATGTGTCCAGAGGATTGAACTGAGGTTGTTGGGCTTTACCCACCGAGCCATCACGAAGGCCTTCTCTCTAATTTTAAAGTTTATTCAAGAAGCAGGACGTTTTTGTGTGGGCAGATGAACAGAGCAGAGAAGTATCAGTGAGGGGCAGGCATATAAAAAGCGTAGTTGAAGGCCATAGGTCAGTAAGCAGAGTGCTAACCTAGCGTGCACACTGCTGTGGATTCACCCCCAGCACCACATAAACCAAGCGTGGTGGTATGCCTGTAAACCCAGAAGCAAGAGGATCAGAAGTTCATCCTCAGCTACCTAGTGAGTTGGAGACTAGCCTGGGCTACATAGGACCCCGTTTATTAAAAATAAATAAGAAAAAAATGTTATCACTTTAATATACCAACTTTTGAATTATTTTTAAATAGTGGCATTAATATAAACAGTATAAATTCCATTAATATCATTGGCTTGGTAGCAATATGTATCATGCCATCATTTTAAATACTCAGCCCATTGCTATTAATGTAAGCTGCTCATGCATTCTTGCTATTTTCCCATCCTTCATTTTCTCTGCTCATGTTTTCTCATTGGGAATATAGTGAGGAGGTGCTGGGCAGGAGCACTTGGCATGCCAGCATGAGGACTTCAGTTCAGACCCCCAGCAGCTCCATGAAAAAAGCTACACACTGGGCTGGAGAGATAGCTCAGAGGTTAAGAGCACTGGCTGTTCTTCCAAAGGTCCTGAGTTCAATTCCCAGCGACCACATGGTGGCTCACAACCATCTATAATGAGGTCTGGCGCCTTCTTCTGGCATGCAGGCAGGATATTATATAAATGATAAATAAATAAATCTTAAAAAAAAGAAAAAAAGCCACACACCTGTAACCCCAGTGCTGGGGGAGCAGGCTTCAGTCAAGAGGCCCTGCCTCAAAAGAGATGGATCAGCAGTTAAGAGGCAAGAGTGTGCTAGGGATGGCGCACACCTTTAATCCCAGCACTCAGGAGGCAGAGGCAGATGGATCTCTGAGTTCTGAGCTAGCCTGGTCTACATAGTAGGATCCTGTCTCAAAAAAAAAAAAAAAAAAACAAAGACTTAAGAATCTGTACATCCATA